GCCTTTTGTCTAAGATCAAGCATAATTTATGCTATTTAATCATAAATATTGGGATTATGGCATAATATCATCACATCTGGCGAAGGTCACACAGGCAGGAGACAGAAGTCAGACTGGATTACAGATTCGATATGGTCACTGATATTAAAACTTTTCCAGTGTTGATATCCTGTGAGGATTAAGTGATGCTGAGATTGTGTGGGCCGGAGTGACACTGAGAGGTCAGAGGCCACTGGCCACAGTTAAACTTGGTCAGGATGAAACTTCCTCTGAATGGGTGAGTGAGGTTATTTCTCTCCAAAGAACATCACTGAGTGTCAGAGAAGACAGAACGGGCCTGGAGATAGAAATAAGAACTTGTTCAGACTAGCACTTCCGGGTGACTGGACAGAAGAGGCAACTCCAAGAACTGCCTGAGAGTAGCAGCCCGAGAGCCAGACAGCAACCTGAAGTAACTTTCCTCAGAGGCCTTCTCCTTGCTGATGAGATTGGTCAGTCTTGGACAGATCCAAGCTCCTTGCTTGTCTGCAAAGTCGTTCTGTCTATATGTTGAGGACAGTCGCACGCAAGCCTTGCCACATGGTATCTCACAGGCCTGGCCTCAGGGGGCTAGTCAAATCTTCAGGCTTCTTATATTACTGATCAGGTTAGGAATTTGATTGTGTCCCCAAGGAGATGAGCTAAAGTCCTGTCCTCTAGAGTGTACGCCTGTGTCTGTTTTCGGTTGCTAAGGGCACAGTACAAACTGGGTAAATTATAAAGAAAACAAGTTTATTTTCAATCTGTAGTTCTGGTCCAAGGTCAAAGGACCTCACTCAGTATTAACTTTCTTGCTGGCAAAACACCATGGCAGGCCATTATGGGGCCAAAGACAGGCGTATTTATTTATTCATTTTGTTTTGCGAGACAGGCTGTCCTAAAACTCAGTAGATAGCTAAGGATGACCTTGAACTTCCTGCTTCCACTCTCCAAGTGCTGGAGATATAGGAGTATACCACGATACCTGGCAGAGACGAGAGATATATGTACTTCCACTGGTCCATCTGTTCTTCTTATAAATATCTATCTATCTATTTATTTATTATTTATACAGTTAGCCTGAAGAGGGTACCAGACCTCATTATAGATGGTTGTGGGCCACCATGTGGTTGCTGGGAATTGAACTCAGGACCTTTGGAAGAGCAGGCAATGCTCTTAACCGCTGAGCCATCTCTCCAGCCCCCCTCTGTTCTTCTTATAAATCAACCAGTATTACATAATAGATGCTTCACCCTAATGGCCTCCTCTAACCCTAATCATCCCTGAAATGCCTCATCTTTATACATCGTGGTTGGACTAAGTCCCCGCCACTTAGTACCTTACAATGGGATGAAACGCCAACCCTGGAAAGGAAACCCTATTAAACTAATGCAACCTTCACTGGGTGGTGGTGGCGCACACCTTTAATCCCAGCACTTAGGAGGTAGAGGCAGGCGGATCTCTGTGAGTTTCAGGACAGCCAGGGTTAAACACAGAAACCCTGTCTAGAAAAACCAAAGGGGGGGGGGAGAAAGAATGAACGAATGAACAAAAGAAAGAAGGAAAGAAAGAATCAGCCTATTGGTGGACATTTTTTAGACGTCTCTGAATGTAACCGAGACAACATTGGGTGGAGCCCTAATCAATCTGACCACAGAAGAAGAAACGCCAGGTGAAGACAGACACCCAGAAGTGCAGCACTTGAGGATGGAGGTAGCTGCTCAGTTCCTGCCAATCAAGGGATGCTTAGGACTGCCTGCGGTAAAGGAAGCAAGGAGAGACAGATGCTCCTGGAGTCCTCAGACATCTCTGTCCCCAACTTCTGGACACCAAGCTTCTGAGAAAATAGATTTATGGGATTTTTTTTTTTTTTTTGAGACAGGGTTTCTCAGTAACAACTGTGGCTGTCCTGGAACTCCCTCTCTAGAACAAACTGGCCTCGAATTCACAGAAATCCTCCTGCCTTTGCCTCCTGAGTACTAGGATTAAAGGCATGAGCCACCATTGCCTGGTTTAATTTATGTCTAAGTCACCCAGTTTATGACAGTAGCCACCCAGTTTATGACAGTTATTGCAGTCTTGGAGAGAGTATCTAGAGGCCTCCCCTGAAATGTTCTCAATATTTCCATCCTCCATTGGCCAAGATCTAGCTGACCCCAGGGCTAATAGTGCTCTTTTCAGAATGCTTTATACCTGCTGGCCCCATCGCTCCCATAGCTCTTCCTAATTTGGCTTAAATGACACATTTGCAGGAAAGTCTGGACTTGGACATTTTGGTTGCCTACCAGAGCAGCAAACCGAATACATCTCTGGTAGTCCTCATCGTGTGTATAGTTAAATACTTACTTGAATAGTTATCCCCATTTGCCCTGCTCAGTGTTGGTGCCAGTTCAAGTCCTGGCCTGACAGGTCCACCAGCAGACGTGCTCGTGCATAACGCAGTCTCTAGGAGGATGCACTGGATAAAGGACGTGCAGCACTGGCGTGGTGTCCATATCTGCAATCCCCACACTTGGGCGGTAGAGGCAGGAGGATCAGGATCTCAAGGTCATCCTCAGCTACACTCGGAGATTGAAGATAGCCTGGGTTGCATGAAATCCTGTGCAGGATGTTTAAAGGCCCAGGCAGTGGAGCCACGTCCCTCAGCAACTTTCTATCCCACTGCAGATGACCTTTTGCTAATCAGTTCAGGTTAGCTTGTAGATCACAGTGCATTCAGCAGGCGCTGCTGGCTTCCCTGCTTCCTTGGTGTACTGGGTGTTTGCTTTTATTTTTTTGTTTTTCGAGATAGGGTGTCTCTGTGGCTTTGAAGCCTGTGCTGGAACTAGCTCTTGTAGACCAGGCTGGCCTCGAACTCACAGAGATCGGCCTGCCTCTGCCTCCTGAGTGCTGGGATTAAAGGTGTGCACCACCATCACCAGGCCACTGGGTGGTTTTGTGTGTCAGCTTGACACACGCTAGAGTCATCAGAGGAAGGAACTTCAGCTGAGGAAATACCTTCCTGAGATCCAACTATAAGACATTTTCTCATTTAGTGATCAATGGGGAAGGGATCAGTTCATGGTGGTTGGTGCCATCCCTGAGCTGCTGGTCCTGCATTTTGTAAGAAAGCAGGCTGAGCAAGCCATGGGAAGCAAACCTGTAAGTGGCCCCCCTCCATGGCCTCTGCATCAGCCCCTGCTTCTTGGCCATGGTATTTTGTCACAGCTATAAAAACCCTAACTAAGACTCTCTGTCTCCTTCATTCCCTGCCCCTGACTTCCAGGCACATCCAATTGTTCCTGAGGAACCTGGCTCAGCACCTTCTGTAGCAGGCATCCACTCCACTGCCCAGAGTAGCAGATGAATAAAATGGAGGGAACAAGTAGAAGACAATGCCCAGAGGCAATGCCAAAAGGTTTGCTTCTAACTGAATATTAAAAACAAACAAGCATATCTATATATTTACTTACTTACTTATTTAATGTGTATGATATTTTGCCTGCATGTACTGCTTTCATGATTCATGCGAGAAGAGACCAGAAGAGGCATCAAATCCCTGAAAATGGAATTAGATATGGTTGTGAACCACGATGTAGATACTGAAACTTAACTTAGTTCCTCTGAAAATGCAGCTAGGACTCTTCTTCTTCTTCTTCTTTTTTTTTTAGATAGGGTTTCTTTCCTAGAACTAGCTCTATAGACCAGACTGGCCCCAAACTCACAGAGATCCACTGCCACCTGCCTCTGCCTCTTGAGTGCTGGAATTAAAGGTGTGCACCACCACTGCTCAGCTATAGCCAGGACTGTTCATCTCTGAGCCATCTCTCCAGCCCTTTCTTGAGGAATACTTTATTGTTATTGCTCACTATGTAGACCAGGCTTTCCTGAAACTCCCCATCTCAGGCCCCGGGTGCTGGGATTACACCACACCCACCCTTCTGTGCTACTGTATACAGTATATATCATACACATAATTTTTTGTCGCATGTAGTGATTAAAGGGAAAACAGAATAAAAAATCACCTAGATTCCTACTGCAAGAAATGATCATATGTCTCCTGTTGTCATCTACCCCTTTAGCCCTTTATGTGATCCAGCTGTGGGAAGGGAAAGTGTGGTTAGGGAGTTCCCTGCACTTTAAGGAACTTGTTTTAAAAAAACTCAGAGACTTTCCAGGAAGCCAAAATGTTCCTGGGAGGCAAGGGGCATCTTTGAATGTCTGCCTTTTTCTGTGTCTGCTTGTGTTGCGGGTGGAGTTCAGGAGCGGACTTTCTTCCTGCCCGGGGGCGGCAGCAACCAGATTCTCCCTGTGCCAGGGAAACCACAGGAGCCACGGTCCTGGCATTTCCCAGCTGCTTCTAAAACAAGGCACAGAGCCAACAGCTTCTGAGCAACTCATGGGCTTCAAGGTCTCACTACTTTGGTAAAGTTAGTGTACCTCTTTGAATTCAGATCACCCTCACGTACTAGAAGGACAAAGAGCTGGCCCAATGGCTTGCAGAGAAGAGGGGCTTACTGCTAAGCCTAAGGATGTGCTGGATCCCTGGTATGCACACGGTTAAAGGAGAGAGCAGATAATTTATTTTAGTATCCCAACAATAAATAAATAGCTATAGTTGTAAAAACAAACAAAAAAACAAGGAGAGAATTAGAGCCACCTGCCCAGGGAGTCTGGGGGGACTGAGCAGAACAGTATTCAGGATATAGAGTTCAGATATTAGCACGTCCTGCCATTCTGAGCTAAGTTATAGGCGTGGTCCTTTCCCCGAACACCCCTCCTCTTCCAGGCTTCTTCCACCAAACTCTGCTCAGAGTGGTTTCCGGAAGTAGCATGTGCTGTTTACCCTGTTCTCTCAACCTCTGCGGCCCCAGTCCTCCCCTCCGGTACCCCAGGCATTAGCAGTAGAGGCTTTATGAGCAGCTGGAAATCCTGTGGTGCTGGTCACCATTGGTCCTTGTGTGGAGTCCTGCAAGGTGTCCCCTGGAGTGTGTCACATCCTGGGAGCTTGAAAGGAACCCAGAGTGCAGGGCTGTGGCTGCTGGTAAGTGGCTTTCCCACCCTATGTTTGGGCTTTGGAAAGGGCAGTGGAGAGGATATTTCAAGCCTGGCTCCCTCTCCTCTCCTCAGACTGGTTTATCAAGGCTGGCAGGGGTGGGGGTGGGGGGTGCTTTGGCAGGAAATACACTTCTCCCCAGAGTACCCAAAACTGTCACCTGATAAGGGGCCAGTGCTGCAGTTGTATTGAGGAAGCTGCAGTTGTTTTTAATATCTCATTTTTAGTCTACACTTCAGGAGGCCACTTGCCGATAGCTACTGTATGTCTCTTGCCTGCCTCTCCTGCTCCAGGAACACCTCACTCTAGGAGGCCGAAGGTAGGATTAGAAATGGCGCAGTACTGTTCTGGCTCTCCATAGCTGGAGCAACCCTGGGTGGGTGGTTCACATAGGCCACTTTAAGATCTAGTTCTTGGGTGGTTCCTTTCTTTCTTATCACACCAGTGGGCCCGGTAAGACACGCATGCATGGGTTCTGTTTACAGTATACCTCTCTTAGACAGGTTCTGTGGAATGCTATAAGCCCAGGACATCTCCTAGAGGGGTCTCCAAGAGCAGCCTATAGGAATGCCAGGCAACAAGGGATGGGAGTCCCAGGGAGGTGACCAGTCAGGACCTTAGTCTGTGAAGGGTGGGAGGGGACCAGAAACATAGCTGTGGATCTTATTTATTTATTTATTTATTTATTTATTTATTTATTTATTTATTGAGACAAGGTTTCTCTGTAGCTTTGGTGCCTGTCCTGGAACTAGCTCTCTTGTAGACCAGGCTGGCCTCGAACTCACAAAGATCCACCTGCCTCTGCCTCCTGGTACTGGGATTAAAGGCGTGGGCTACCACTGCCCTGCTCAGCTGTGGATGTCTTAATGCCCGCAGATGCCATATTCCAGTCTGCATCCATCCATTCCACGTCCCAGAGGTAACCGGTCCCAGAAGGCAGCCTTGGTCTTGCTGGTGACCAGCCTGGTGATCCTTAGGGGGCTCGGTGACTCACCAGATCACATTCTCAATTACCTGGTAGTCCATCTGGCCTCCCTGCAGCTTGGACGACTGTTGAAAGAGGCCTGCTGTCTGACTGAAGAGCTGCATCATGTCCACTCCAGGTGACGCTCCGCAGTCCCCACAGAGACTGGGTGCCCAAAAAGTGTCACACCCTTCACTCCTAACCTCGGCCTTCCCTGAACCTCACTGGCTGAGCTGGGCTGGGGTCTGAGGCTGGGCTGCTCCCGCAGGTATCAGAGCAACTACTGGAAGGCTGTGCGCGCTTGTCTGGGCTGCCCCATCCGCCGTACGACCTTGCTGGTGCTGTCCTTCTATTTCTACTACTATTATTTCCAAAAAGATGCTGACCTGAGTCTCAGTTGGATGCTCCTCTTGCTGGCCCTCTCACAGTCCATCAACATCCTTCTGGGCCTCCAGGTAGGGAGGGCATGGAAGAGGTGGGTGATGGGGGTAGATGGGACTGTGACTAATGTTGAGCTCAGCCCTGGGGAGGAGACTAGTTTAACGCTGAAGAGCCGGGTGTAGAGCTAGGGGGCTTGAGATCATGGGTTTAACAGCAGCAGTGAGATTGGGAAAGCTTCCTGCAAGAGAAGGGCTCTGGCTGTCCTGTCCCTCTTGGAAGTCCCTCAAGTCCCTCCCACTGTCTACAGAGCCTCGCCCCAGCAGAAATTTCTGCCATCTGTGAAAAAGGAAACTTCAATGTTGCCCATGGGCTGGCCTGGTCATACTACATTGGGTACCTGCGGCTCATCTTGCCAGGTAGGCCACCTGCATCTTCATTCTTAGACAAGATACATGGTTTTTGCTATGCTTTTTGAAGGATTTCCATGTCTACCAAATAATTAAATTATTCCATATGAAGACTGTTAAAAGTTTTAGTGTGATCTTTGAGACAAATGTTTTAAAGTCTTGGGTGCTTAAAACACCCTATGTACTGAGCTGAACAGTGGCAGCGCACGCTTTTAATTCCAGCACTTGGGAGGCAGACAATCTCTGTGAGTTCGAGGCCAGCCTGACCTACAAAAGGACTTCCAGGACAGCCAGGACTTGTCTCAAAAAAAAAAAAAAAAAAAAGCAAAAGCAAAAACAAAACAAAACAAAAACAAAAACAAAAACAAAAAACCCCACACAACCAAACAGAAAAACACCCTATGTATTTGAGGATGACCTTGAATTTCTGATTGTCCTGCATCTATATCCAAACCCTGGGATTACAGGTGTGAGCCACTGTACTTGGCTTGTTATTGCTGTTGTTTTGTAATTAATTTGTTGTCTTGAGGATTGAATATGGGGCTTTACACATGCCTAGTAAGCAGTCCACCATGTGTTGTGGGACATGTGTACACTGTGAAGATATATTGCTGTGATTGGTGTAATAAAAAGCTGAACAGCCAATAGCTAGGCAGGAGCTGTTCGGATATGGTGTGAGAGGGCCTTGGTGGGTTCAAGAAGTCCCACGGCAGGTGAGAGCCCAAGGTGGGTGAGAAACAGGCATGTCATGGAAGCAATGCTCATGTGGAGGGGTTTTATTGAGAGAAAGGGAATGGAAAAGGGGGAGGGGAGAGGGAGACCAGCTCTGGGGATAGGAGCTGTGGAAGAGAAGAGAGAGGCAGAAAGAGAGAAAGACAAAGAGACAGGCAGAGAGAGAGACAGAGACAGAAATAGGCGGTGCAAAGACCTGCCTGCCTTTTCAGAAGAGGAGCAGGAAAGAGACCGAGACTGGGTGGAGCACATGTGCACAGATTATTATGTAGTGACGTACGGACTGCATAGTGATGTAGCAGGCATAGTGCCCTGGGCTGGCCGGGACACTACCTGAGTGCATCCTGCCAGGTGACAGGGGGCAGACCAGCATCACACTTGAATCCTAACAGGAGAGATGGGCAGGACTTGGGGGCAGAGATAAACTGTCTTACTTCTGGCCACGTGATAGAATGTAGATTAATATAAATGGGTTGATTTAAGTTATAAGAGATGGTTGGGGATGACAAGCCTAAGCTAAAGGCCGAACTTCCATAATTAATAAGTCTCTGTGTCATTTTTTTTNAGAGGCAGGCAGATCTCTGTGAGTTCGAGACCAGCCTGGTCTACAAGAGCTAGTTCCAGGACAGGCTCCAAAACCACAGAGAAACCCTGTCTCGGAAAAAAAAAAAAGAAAAAAAAAGAAGAGTCATGGGCCTGGAGGCCAGCTCATTGTGAATGAAGATTTCTTCTAAATTTAGCTGCCAAGGTGTGGTCGTGCTTACCCTGGATTTCCTTAGCACTGTGAGTGAGAAGGTGGTGTAGCTTTGTCTCTAGGTGATGTATTCTAAAAAGAACATGTAACTTCCTTCTGCTTCTCAGACCCTGAGCTTTCTATCAACCACAAGATTTGGTCTTTATTAAACAAAACACTTCATTTGGATATGATCCAGCATTTCAGCTTCTTCTACCTCATCCTTCTGTCAGGGGCTCCCTGTCTCTCTGTGAAATTTAGTACTGTGGATTTATTTGCTCATTTCTACTTTCAGCTCTGGGAGTTATAGCTTCATGCAATTAGCATAGTTGATACAGCACTTATAAGGTTCCTATTAAATTGATCATTTTGTAATTTCCTTGCTCTGAAGTTTTTGTTAGTTTTGAGAAATATTTAAATATTAAGGGATGTTTATACTTTAATTTACTCTGCCAATCTTTGTCTTTTTGTTGCATTGCATTGTGTATGTTTAAAAGGATCATTGCTATTTTAGTAGTTAAATGTGCCATTCTGTTCTTTTCAAAATATCATTTCTTATAGTTTTATCACGATAATATAATTGCATCATTTCCCTGTTCTGTGTCCTCCACCTAACCCTCCAATATACTTCTCCCTGCTCTCTTTCAAATTCACGGCCACTTTTCTCATAAACTGTTGTTTTACACATACATTTAAACACACGAAAACACACATATATATTCCTAAATATATATGTACAAATTGCTCAGCCTGTGTGTTATTTGTATGTATGCTTTGAGGGCTGACTATTGGGTATTGGATAACCGGTTGGTGAGCTCTTCCCTGGGAAGATCATTTTTCCATGTCTCATCATTCATTAGTTGCCTCTAGTTTCTTGTGGAGGACCAAGGCCTGGTGGGATTTTCACCATCCACTTTAACTTTTCTGTTGTTGTACTTTCTGATGACGTTTGGGCAGTCATGTTGGTGAGAATTTTGGTGTATCTTCTAACATTCCTAGGTGACACAATCTCACAGCAAGCAGTCTGTTCCTGTAGCACTTATATACTTCCCACCCTCTCAGCAACAATCCCTGAGCCCTAGGTATGAGAATTTCTTGTAGATGTGTCTTTGGGGACTGGGTTCCACAACTTTGCACTTGTGTTTGTTGTGGTGTTCTGTAATGGTCTCCATCTATTGCAAAGGGATGTTTCTTTAATGAGAAGTAAGAACTATACTTTTCCGTGTGTATAAAGGCAAATATTTGAAATGCAGTTAGGGATTATGCCGGTTTAGTAAAACAATAGTTTACTTTCTCTTCCCAACTTGATAACTTCACTAGCCCTGGGTGGTGGACTAGATTTCCAGTGCCAGGTGTGATTTCCTCTTGTTATGTGGCTCTTTTAACCAATTAATTAGTTACTGCCAAGGTATGTCTGTCTACACTGCTATATCCTGTGGGTCATGCTAGCTACTTTTATGGTTCATAGGCATCATAGTGGGCAGGACTGTTGGTTGTTTTTTGTTTCTTTGGAAGTTTGTATGATGTCTTCTGATGCCTGGGAACCTAGTCCTCTGGAAGTAGACTTTCAGGTCATTCTAACTCAGAGGCTCTTTGGCCGTGTTTATAAAGTCCCTAATGTCTACAGCAATAGGAACTTACTTTCTATCTCTGGGAACCACCAATGGCGATAATACATTAACTTGTAATGTTTTGAGACTGTCTTGGGAAACACTGAATAACAACTCAAAACAGGGCTTTTTATGCCTTGTGTTGGGATTTTGTTAGATGATCTTTGGCTCTTGCAAGAAGCAGTGTCAATGCCGGGCGGTGGTGGCGCACGCCTTTAATCCCAGCACTTGGGAGGCAGAGGCAGGCGGATCTCTGGGAGTTCGAGGCCAGCCTGCTCTACAAGAGCTAGTTCCGGGACAGGCACCAAAGCTACAGAGAAACCCTGTCTTGAAAAACCAAAAAAAAAAAAAAAATTATTTATGCGGGTGTGTGCACAGAGGTCAGAGAACAACACATGGAATCCATTCTCTCTTTTTACGGTCTTGAGGCAGAGGCAGGGTCTGTCTTGTTTCCACTGCTGCACAGTCCTGTCATGGCCTCCGATTTCTCGATTGCAGTGCTGGGATTACAGACAGACATTCTGGCCTTTTACATGGTTCTGGGAATCAAATTCACTGTGTCAGCCTTTGCAGCATTACCTGCTGAGCCATTTCCCCAGTCTTTTTTAAAAAGATTTATTTAGATTTAGTTAGTGAGTTACTTTCCAGACAGGGTTTCTCTGTGTAGCCCTGGATGTCCTGGAACTCACTTTGTAGACCAAGCTGGGCTCAAACTAAAAGATCCCCCTGCCTCTGCCTCCCAAGTGCTAGGGTTTAAGGCATGCACCACCACCACCCAACAAATATTTATTTGTAACTTACATCTGTGAATGTATGCCTGCATGAATTATGTGTGCTATGTGCTTGCAGGTACACTGTGTAGCCAGGCAGTCCTTAGACTGGCGATTCTCCTCCTGCCTTAGTCTTCTAAAAGCTAGGACGACAGGTGTGTGCCACTACAGACGACTTTCTTTGCATGATTCCCTTCTTCTTTCTTCCTTTGTCTTTTGATACAGAAACTTGCTATGTAACCTTGGCTGGCCTGGAACTCATATCATATGACTCTTAACTGAGATTACAGACATGTGCCATCATACTTGGCTTTCCTTTTGGTTTTCTTTTTCTTTCTTTCTTTTTTTTGGGGGGAGGGTGTGTTCCAATACAGGTTTTTCTGTGTCACAGTCCTAGCTGTCCTAGAACTAGCTCTTGTAGACCAGGCTGGCCTCAAACTCACAGAGATTCACCTGCCTCTGACTCCTGAGTACCAGGATTAAAGGTGTGCACCACCACCACCTGGCACTTTTTTTTTTTTTAAAAAAGCAACATTATTTTTTTTATTTTTAAATTATTTATTTATGTATACAACATTCTGCCTCCATGTATGCCCACACACCAGAAGAGGGCGCCAGATCTCAGTACAGATGGTTGTGAGCCACCATGTGGTTGCTGGGAATTGAACTCAGGACCTCTGGAAGAGCAGCTAGTGCTCTTAACCTCTGAGCCATCTCTCCAGCCCACACTTTTTTGTTTTTTAAAGTTTACTTGTGTAGGTGTTTTGCTGCATGTATGTCAGTGTACCATGTAAGTGCTGGTGCCTGAAGGGGCCAGAAAAGGGCACTGGATCCCCTGGAACTGGAGAGACAGATGGTGAAACAGCCATGAGCTCAGCCCCTTTAGAAGTGCAGCAAGTACGGGTTAACTGCTGAGCTAACTCTCCAGCCCCATGAAAAATATTTATAACATGCTAGATCCCCCCATGTTCATTTTCTCCTTAAGCTCATATACTATATGGGATGATTATCATTCATATTTCATTTTAATATTGTTTTCTTTAAAATTTATATATTTAAGGGCCTGGAGAAATGGCTCAGTGGTTAAGAACATTGCCTGCTCTTCCAAAGGTCCTTAGTTCAATTCTCAGCAACCTCATGGTGGCTCATAACCATCTGTAATGAGGTCTGGTGCCCTTTTCTGGCCTTCAGGCATACACGCAGAAAGAATATTGTATACATAATAAATAAATAAATATTTTTTAAAAAAGAACTAAAATTTATATATTTAATTAAAAATTTTCCTTTATTAAAGCTAATTAGTTGATTTCTTGGCTTTCCTACTGCAGGGCTCCAGGCCAGGATCCGAATGTTCAATCAGCAAAACAACAACATGCTACGGGGAGCAGGGAGCCGAAGGCTGTATGTTCTCTTCCCATTGGACTGTGGGGTGCCCGATGACCTGAGTGTGGCTGACCCCAACATTCGCTTCCGAGATAAACTGCCCCAGCAAAGCATGGACCGTGCTGGCATCAAGAATCGGGTTTATTCCAACAGTGTCTATGAGCTTCTAGAGAATGGGCAGCCAGTAAGTATACAGAACTGGGCTTGGGGAAAAGGCTCATCTCCCTAGGATCCTGGATCCTTAGCCACACACTGGTAAGAACTCATTACTCTTTTTTGAGCCTGGCTGCACAGCTGGTCCCAGGACAAGGCGAGATTCAGTTATGAACTACACTGAGAAGTAACATTCACAGAGCATTTACCATATACCAGAAGCTAGTGTATGTGCACCGATGGCCACCTCTAAACCACCAACCTGTGGGGCTGGGACTGGTGTGATCGCTACGTCTACAGTGGAGGAAAGTGAGGCTCAGAGATACAGTAATGAAGGTTGCGAGAGCATTTGAAGAACTGGTTGTGGGTGTGGGGAAGCAAACCCCCAGAGTGCTCCCCCAGACTCCATTTTCAGCCAGGAAACCATGCTCTAGGATCATGGGGAAGGATCTGTGAAGGGTGTTTAGGGCAGCCCGGGCCTTAGTAGGGCAATCATGTCCTAGGACTCTTTCTGCAGACTGAGGGAGTAGGGTCATAGCCTATGGCGTCAGGTCCACAATTCATCTGTCAGGGTCCTGGCTCGTCTAATCTTGTTCTCACCTCCTCCAGGTAGGCGCCTGTATCCTGGAGTACGCCACTCCCTTGCAGACCTTGTTTGCCATGTCACAGGACGGGAAAGCTGGCTTTAGTCGGGAAGATCGACTTGAGCAGGCCAAACTCTTCTGCCGGACACTTGAAGACATCCTGGCTGATGTCCCTGAATCTAAAAACAACTGCCGCCTCATTGTCTACAACGGTGAGACACTGCCAGGGTTGGAGGGCAGAAATCAGGAACCCCAGTATCTCACAGAGGGTCAGAGAACAAGGAGGCAGAGTTTTCTGGGCTTTGCCATGTGGTCAAAGGGGTCAAAGGGGTCATGCCATGCTCTTGCCTCCTCTGGTAGATGTCTTCTCGCCACCTGAATGTGGCCAGCCTTGACGCTGTGGCCTTTAGACAGGTCTTTGCCTTTTCTGAGCATCATCTCTAGAAGCAGGAGGGTGGGCTTCCATGACCTACAACTACTTCTAGCTGAGCTCTGCCCCCCCCCCCCGCAGGCTGTGGGGTAGATGGGTAGAGGGAAGGGGGCTGAGGCTGAAGGCTTGCCCCAGCGGTCCCTAAGGGTGCCATGTATCCTTGTTGGGAGTGTGTAAGGTCCTCACCTAACCCCCACTCTACATCCCTGTTCCAGAGCCTCAGGAGGGAGAGAGTTTCTCCCTGTCTCAGGAGGTTCTCCGGCACATTCGTCAGGAAGAGCGGGAGGAAGTGGCCATGAATGACCTCCAGACCTCAGTGGTGTCCCATTCTCACTCCTCTGTGCTGTCCCAAGAGCCGAGACTCCTCATCAGTGGCATGGAGCAGCCGCTTCCACTCTGCACAGACCTCATCTGAGGCATGGGGCAGCCTTGTCTGAGCTGCTGGTGATCGATCCTTCAGCATCCTGACTGGGGCTTCCCTCAGTGACTGAGGGGGTGACTCACAGAGATCTCACATCTCCCGACGAGTCCCACATTCCTGGGTGAGCCATTGTATGTCTCTGAGCCTGAGCCTACTCCCCTATGGAATGGGATCATAGGGTTCTTGTGAGGACTAACCATGTAGAAACTTGGTGTCAATTGCCAGGTAAAACTAAGATAGGTCAAGTATTTGCCACCATCGATGCTCTAGCATTCTCTGGTCCTTGTTGTCCTGTCTGGATGGGACCAGCAGACCAGCTTCTGGTCATGTGTGTTCAATGGGAGCTTCAGCAGATGAATGGAGGGAGGGAGGGAGGCGCATTAGGAACATGCGTTCTGTTAGCTGTATGTAGTCACAGTGGGCTGTCCTGCCAGGCCACCTTCTCAGTAAGCTTATCTATTCTCAAGGTTTTGGAGGAGCCTCTTCCCCTTGCCCCTAGCACTGGTATTTGTGTGACACTGAAGAACTTACTCTCTGTGGTCTCTTTACATCATGTTCCTTGTATGTGGTCCTCTTAAAGACACCGCTCAGATTACACCATCTTTCTGCAGCTAGGCTGTGACTGCTATACGGACCTGGCATGCATCGTCCGTGTCTGGCTGCGTATACAACACACTTCCTGCACTCTTCCTTATCCTGCTACAGGGAAGCAGGAGATAGTTGTCATTTCAACCCAGATGGAGCCCACCAGGCACATGAGGGCACACCCTACCTTTGCTTTCAGTGTCCTTGCCTCCGGAGCCAGGGCTGAGTGGCGCTAGAACATGGATGCCACCGGTAGTACACAGCTGTGTCTCGGGGAAGGGACCATTCGAAGAAGCGGAGGCCACTGACCAGACGTTCTCTAGTGAGAGTTGTGAGGGGATCAGGGAGGAAGAATATGTTCCCTGGGGAACACTGGAGGACACGGCCGGTCACTGAGCCCACCTTTGGTGGCACTGCCACCCCACGTGGGAGGGCAGACAGTCCACCTACCCGTTCCACCTAGGCTTTACATGCAGCCTCCCTCTACCTTCGTTTCCTTCACCCAGGCTCAGGGTGCCACTTTGTATTTCTTTCTCTTTGTTTTATGTGTATGTGTTTTCTCCAAAACTGAGAATCAGAGTTGGGGGCTTGTTTACATAGGCAAACCCTCTACCACTGAGCTATGCCCTCAGCCCTCATATGTTTCTGAAATGTCACTTTGGAGAAGTCATACACATGCACACACGCACACACGTCAGAGGAAACCAGTCACTCTGAGGATAGCAGAGCCAGGGGAATCAACTAGGGGGGTAGTCCCTTCTCTTCCTGACCGTCACAGTCATCTTGCCCCCAACACTGCAGAGCCTGTATCATAGCCAATGTTCCTTCTCCAGAAACCAGCCCAGAATCAAGGGCCTCCCCAGCTTGACTGTGTTCAATTTACCAGTCCCCAGGATGGTTCCTAGACTGTGGATCTGGTAAAGCTCAAGTTCAAATCCTGTTTGGCACCTGTGTGTTCACCGTGGTGGTTTTTTTTTTTTTTTTTAAGACAGAGTTTCTCTGTGTAGCCCAGGCTGGCCTTGAACTCACTGTATATGATCAATTAGTCTTGAATTCAGAGATGCATCTGCCTCCTCCTCCTGAGTACTGGGATTAAAGGCATGCACCACCGCAACTAACCCCTCCCCCTTTTCTTAATAAACAGGGTGTCCCTCAAACTTGCTGTGTCATTGAGAATGATCCTGACCTTCTAATCCTCCTGTCTTCATCACTCAAGTACGAGGATTAAAAGACAGTACCACCACGCCCAGTTTATATGGTTTATGTCTGCATGTTTCTGATTGCATATGAGTGAGGTGTGGAGGTACCAGAGAAAGGGGCACCTTTCCAGAGAGCCACCAGGAGGCCCGACTTGGTTTTCCGGGCCCCAGTCTATATTTTCCTGACTACTTCCCTGCAGGGATGGACCCAAACAAGTTCCACAGAGTTCCTCTTCTTTTCCTGGTTTCCCACTAGCTGGAATTTTCTGGATCCGGAAGTCATTTGTCATACATTTTAGGCTTATTCCAACAGGCCCACACTCATTCAAAAAGTAAGAGGTAATAAGAGCCCCTAAAATCCCCCATCACATCCTAGGATGGCAAGGCAGATTTGGGGGACAAACCAAGGCCAATCTTGGAACTCTAAGTGGAGATTAAGAATTTCAGGGGCTTTGGGTGTCATCCACAAGCCTCCTTTCTCAGCACCCAGTGTCTCAGAGAAGACACGGCACAGTTCTCCTTGGATCAGCAGTGTGTAGAGGCAAGGCCTTCTCTGTAGACCTGATATCCCTGCGCAGGGATGGAACCTTCTCTATTCCAAAAGGGATGGAGATCAGAAGTATAGGGAGGAAACAGGAACTCCGAGGAGGATCTGGAGATCCCTGAGGGGAACCTTGTAAGGGTGATCTTGGCACCATGTCTGTGGGCAAGGTCCTCAGGTGGCTTTTATTTCTCTTGTCACCATGGAGCTTTCTCGTTAAATATCTGAGGGTTGCTCTAGCCGAGTCCAGAGGACTATCTGTAGCTCCAACACCCAGGTTCCAATTCACTTTTCAGTCCAGTTTCTTGTTCTGAGACGAGTCAGGCCAAATGACCCTCCTACAGATATGTGACTTCATCAACGCTCGGCCTGTGTCCATCTAGGGCAGAGCCAGAGTGAGGGATAGGAAGTCCCGGCTGGGTTTCTCTGTGATTGTCCTGTAGGTCCAGCAGCCGCCAGTGGATGAGGTAAATGCCATTCTCTGGCTTTAGAGCTGGTGGCTCTGTGAGGAGAGTGGCATGGCCCTGGTGCAATGTGGGCCCAAAGTGAACTGCCAACACAATGCAGATCGCTAAGAGGACGAAGGCAGCGATGATTGCAGCGACAAAGGGCAGCCCGTCCCCTCGCGGTGCTTCCCAGACCTCACCTAACATCTCGGGGAGCCGCCTTTGAGGCTCCTGTTCCAATGACCCATTCACAGGTGGAGAAGGCTGAGGATAGTGGCCATCCTGGGGGAAGAGGAGAGATGACAGAGGTTGATGTGGGTATGAACATACAGAAAAAGTCAAAGGAGAGGAGGGATCTGAGAAACAGAAAACTCAGAGACAGCGATAGATGCATGTGTGTGTGTGTGTGTGTGTGTATGTGTGTGTGTGTGTGTGAAATCACACACACTCATAAGAACAATAAACTGGGGGCTGGAGAGATGGCTCGATGGTTAAGAACACTGGTTGTTCTTCCAGAGTACCTGGGATCAATTCCCAGCACCCACATGGCAGCTCACAACTGTCTGTAACTTCAGTTCCCCAGGGACCCAACACCCATGGCAAAACACCTATGTGCACAAAGTAAATAAATTTAAAAAAAGAATAATAAACTGAAAGACAAAGACATTGGGAGCTACAGGAGTGGGTGTGGGAGGCAGAGAAATAGACAGTAACAGAAAAACAGCCACCCTGAAAGACTATGTAAAGTCACTCAGGAAAGGCAGAGGGAGAGGCTTTCTTATAGTCTGGCATAGTAAATACGGTTTGTCTCCAAAGTTTCCCATCACTGCTTCCTCCTCCCAGGTCTCCAGCAAGAGTCACAAATACATCCTGGGTTGCGCTAGAAATCTGAGTAGTCTTTGGGCCGCTGCCCCACATCCTGGGCAGTGGGCAGTGGGCAATGAGCAGCAGCTGCCTTGAGATGTTCTGGAGAAAGGGAATTGTCCAGTCTCAGGGGCTCTCCTGTTCTAAGTCACTGAGGAGCAGAAAGGCGCTACCCTGGGCAGGGCTAGGAGGAGGGGACATGAACACCAGAAACTTGGTCTGAGGTGGGATGTGTGCCCATACTTACATCCCATATGTATGTCCCCTTCCCCCTAGGGCTTGGGGCCAAGTTCGAGGGGCCTAGATAGGACTGGAGCCTGGTGTAGATTCCTGGCTATGCCCAGGATGGGTTGACATCCTGCACCAGTCATCTACCCTTGCCAGGATCTCTGGGTTTTTCTATCATTATGTCTCCTTGCTGAGGACATAACCCATGTCACTAGTGTGTCCCAACCCTGCTGGATGTTGAGTAGGGACAGGGGATCTCAGTAAAGGATGGGAAGTCCAGAGTTAGTGAGGTGGCCTCCCCCTCCAGTCGTCATTCTACTGTACACTGGGAATTGGGGGTCTCTCTAACTCTGAGCCTTCAGCCTGGCCCACTCTCTGGACAGTTGGAGCTATGAGATCAAACAAAACTATTTCCTTTAGTCCCTCAGCCACAATGTACCTAAGTTCCAACTCAATACTGCTGTCCATGCAGACCTGAGTGGGGGCCTGGGGGGTTGTTATGGGCCTCCCCACAGGGGCACAAAAACAACCCCAGGTGTAGAAAGGGAGAAGGAAGCTTAGGTTGGGAAACATGTGGGGCCCCATAGGGAATCAGGCCAGGAGGGAAGGAAGGGGCGAGCAGAGTCTACCTGGTGCATTGTCCGGGGCTGGAGCAGAGTTCCCTTGGGACTGGATACCAGCTGGGCAAAGGAAGAGAGCTCACTGCCTAGCTCAGCCCCTACCCGGAGCTGCCACGTCTGCCGTGCTCTAGGCACACACCCTCTGCATACACCCTCACTATTCTTTCCCACGCCTGTACTTACAGGAACGTCTAGGCTACCCAGGGCCAGTCTTCAACTCTGAGAGTACCTTGATCTTCCTCCTAGCCACTTCCTTGCGTGCCTCCTGCATGCCCTGCCCACGCCTCCTCCTACAGATTCCAGTTACTCCCTCCCTGGGACCTGCCCATGCTCCTGCTCTCATTTCCTGAAGCCAAGGCCCTCTGGTCTTTCCTTGTTATACATAATATATCAAGCACTCTGATCGCACATCCTACATAATATCCTGGATATAACGCCCCTAGATCACTGTAGCCTAACAGCTCTGTCTGTCCATGTTTTGCTTTACCACATTTATTTCTAAAATGTTAAGAACTAAACTACTTTTCTAAATTTATTTTAATTTTTATTTATTGTGTGATTGTGTATGTGCACATGCATGGTGTATATGGGGGCCCTTGTGTCATGCAGGTGTGTGGAGGTCAGAGGTCAGCTTTGTGGAGCTGGTTCTTTTCACCTTTATGTTGATTCCCGGGAGCAAACTCAGGTGGCCAGGCTTGCACAGTAAACACCTTTATTTGTCAGGCCACCTTTATTGTTGTTCTTTTTTTGAGACAGGGTCTCTCTATGTAGCCCTGGCTGTCCTGGAACTCACTATATAGACCAGGCTGGCCTCGAACTCACAGGGATTAAAGGCAAATCCCAGCACTAGGGAGGCAGAGGCAGGCGGATCTCTGTGAGTTCCAGGACAGCCTGGTCTGCAAGAGCTAGCTCCAGGACAGGCTCTAAGCTACAGAGAAACTGTCTTGAAAAAAAAAAAAAATAAAGGCTTGGGCCACCACTGCCCAGCCACACCGTTTTAATAAAGTGTATAGATATATAAACATCGGCTGAGGGTAGCTGGTACATCTACCTTTTTTTTTTTTTCCAAGGGTAAGAGGGGTAGGTAGGGGTCTTTCTGGTATAAACCACAAACCTGTTAGACAAGTTGGAAATGAGCCCTACATCTCACTGTAAAGATTTGTTTTTTCTCTGTGCTGAGAACAAAGACCTAAAGAGGAACTAGTAAAACAGAAATCCCAGGCTGATGGGATGTCTCATCTGGTAAGGTGCTTGCTGCCAAGGCTGATGACCTGAGTTTGGTCACCAGGATCCACATGGTAGAAGAGACCTGACTCATTCCAGTGTCCTCTGACACACAGTTGAATGTACCCCCTCCCAATACACATGCAAAATAAATAATTTTTACAATATTTAATAATATATATTAGAAATCCTCACTTCCTTACCCCACCACACATTTTTTTAACCTTATGATAAACAAACACCTATAAAACTATGATTTAAGGGCTGGAGAGATGGCTCAGAGGTTAAGAGCACTGACTGCTCTTCCAAAGGTCCTAAGTTCAATTCCCAGCAACCACAAGGTGGCTCACAATCACCTGTAATGAGATCTGGTGCTTTGTGGCCTGTAGGCAGACATGTCGGGAGAACACTGTATATATAATAAATAAATACATCTTTAAAAAACAAAAGAGACATTCTTTTCTGTTTTCGTTTTTAAAGATTTATTTGTTTGACATATATGAGTGCTTTATTTGGGCTAGAGAGATGGCTCAGTGATTAAGAGCACTGCCTGCTCTTCCAAAGGTCCTGAGTTCAATTCCCCACAACCACATAATGGCTTACAACCATCTATAAAGAGATCTAGTGTCCTCTTGAGGAAGAGGACATGGTCAGTTGTCCTCATCAACTTAGACAAGTTCAACAGAACCCCCATATACGGGCTGCCCATGCCTGCCTCAGCATTGGCAGGGCAGACATTTCATTCATTCATTCAGTGCTCTATTTGCATGTATGCCTTTATGGCAAAGAAGACATCAAATCCCGCAGTAGATGGTTTTGAGCTACCGTGTGGTTGCTGGGAATTGAACTCAGGACCTCTGGAAGAATAGTCAATGTTCTTAACCACTGAGCCATCTCTCTAGCCCCTTCTCTTCTGGGTTTTGTTTACTTGTTTTGTTTTTGTTCTTTTGAGTTTTTAGGCATACGGTTTCTCTGTGTAGCCCTGGCTGTCCTAGAACTTGCTCTGTAGACTAGGCTGACCTTGAACTCACAGAGATCCACCTGCCTCTGTTTCCTGAGTGCTGGGATTAAAGGTTTATGCTATCACTGCAAAACATCTTTCTGGTTTTTTTAAAATATTTATTTATTATGTATACAATTTTCTGTCTGTGTGTATGCCTGCAGGCCAGAAGAGGTCACCAGACCTCATTACAGATGTTTATGAGCCACCATGTGGTTGCTGGGAATTGAACTCAGGACCTTTGGAAGAGCAGTCAATGCTCTTAACCACTGAGCCACCTCTCCAGCCCCCCTTTCTGGTTGTTTTTGAGGAAAGGTTTCATGTAGATTAGATTGGTCTTAAACTTGCTATGTAGCTAAGAACTTAAACTCCCAATCTGTCTGATTCCACACCCTGAGTGCTAGGATGGTAGGCCATGACCAGTTATTTGTGTTTTGTTTGAGACAGGGTCGCATTAAGTAACCCAGATTGATCTCAAGCTCAATACTCTCCTGTCTCAGACTCCTGAGTACTAGAATTACAGGTGTACACCACCCTGTTGTAGTAGGCCGCCTTGTTTGTTTCCGGCTGCTCAGCCCTGAAATATCCTCACAGAAACTATATTAATTAAATCACTGCTTGCTTGGCCTATTAGCTCTAGCTTTTTTTTTAATATTTATTTATTATGTATACAGTATTCTGTCTGTGTGTGTGTCTGCAGGCCAGAAGAGGGCGCCAGATCTCATTACAGGTGGTGGTGAGCCACCATGTGGTTGCTGGGAAATGAACTCAGAACCTCTGGAAGAGCAGTCAGTGCTCTTAACCACTGAGCCATCTCTCCAGCCCTAGCTCTAGCTTCTTATTGGCTAGCTCTTATATCTTAATTTAATCCATTTCTTTTTAAAATTTATTTATTATGTATATAGTGTTCTGGGCACCAGATCTCATTATAGATGGGTGTGAGCCATCATGTGGTTGCTGGAAATTAAACTCAGGACCTCCAGAACAGCAGTCAGTTCTCTTAACCTCTGAGCCATCTTGCCAGCCCCAATTTAACCCATTTTTATTTCATATTTTACCACAAGGCTCATGACCTACCAGCAAATTTCCAGCTGGCAGCTCACATCTTTTTTCCTCTGGTGGCTAAGCACCTGTAACTCCAGTTCCAGAAGGTCTGACGCCCCCTTCTGGCCCGAGAGTGCACTCCATGCACATGGTATACAGGCTATACATACAGGTAAAATACCCATACACATTACAAATATAAATAAATACATCTTTAATATGTATGTATGTATATATCTTCCAACCTGGCTATATTCTGCTAAGCCATTGATTGAAAGCAGCTTCTTTATTCATTAACCAATAAAATCAACACATATACACATAATAAAATCACCACCCTTCCTGGCCTAGTTTTTCCAAGGTAATTTTTGGTACCAACTAGCTACCCATAATAAGCTATTCCTCATCTTGCCCCTGGGTGCAAATTGGCCTCTATTCACGTGGAGATCAGTAGACTCCAGAAGACCCCCTCACCTAGTGACTTGAAGCAGTAAGTATCAATAGCTTTTTGATTTCTTGCTTCTTATCCAAGCTGCCTACACCCTGTCACCTCCACTGAGTCTGGGATATTGACCTGACCCTCAAATTCCTGAGGCCTCTTGGTGGCAGGCATGAAATCTACTGATCATTCCCCCACGCAATCGAAGGTTGCACCCCCCACCCCCACACATACCTTGGTCCTTTTGTATCTTAGAAAGATGGAATCTGGACTTTGCCCCAAGTCAAGACTTTCACTTCTGAAGAAGAGAGTGGACTTTCTGGCCCCAGGCTTCTCCATTGCTTGCCCGTATCCACACTCACCACTACAGCTGCCCCTTTCCCTTTGCCCTCTAAGCCTTAATTAATCATTCGGTCTCAGTTTCAGCCTTTCCTGGAATGTGTTCTTCTGCTCCTGAGGCCAGAGTAACCTTCTTTCTCCTTAAACTCTATACAAGTGTGTTTCTTACCTGTTACTAACATTTGCTTTTATCGTGTATGTCTGTGTATGTGATGTGTGTGTACTTGCGTGTGTGTGTGCATGTTCATGTGTGTAGGTGTGGGCATGCTTATGAGCCAGCATGTACGGGGAGGTAGAGGACAACTCGGGTGTCACTTCCACCACCCCCCCCCCCCCCCGCCTCTGTTTGCCGCTGCCTGTGCCAGGCTCGCTGGCCTGAAGCTTCCCAGGGGCCCTTTCCCACACACCCAGGAGCGTTGGGACTGAAGAACCACAGCCACACACCCAGCTTTATACCCGTTCTGGGGATTCAAACCCAGGTCCCCACTGAGCTATCTCCAAGTCTACCTGTTTCTTACATTGTCAAATTTCATCTGAGACAGGAAGTTTGAGGCCATCCTGGGCTATAGAGTAAAAGTCTGTCTCAAAACAAAGTAAATAAACAAACCCACAAATGTATATAAAGTAACAATAATATTTAGAGAAGAAGAGGCCATGAATGGGAAGGAGCAGGGGGACACAGGAGGAGCTGGAAGGGAGAGGAAGGGGTGGAAATGATGTAAATACAGTACTCGTGCATGAAATTCTCAAAAAAAAATTTAAATAAACAAAGCAACAACAACAAAACCCAGGGTTTTGAGAGATGGCTCAGCAGTTGGAAGTTCTTGATGGTCTTTCAAAGGATCCCTCTTCAGTTCAATCCATCTCAGTAGCCACATGCCAGCTAAGCATCTGTAGCTCCAGTTCCAGAAGGTCTGACGCCCCCTTCTGGCCTGAGAGTGCATTCCATGCACATGGTATACAGGCTATACACAGAGACAAAACATCCATACACATTGAAAACACAAATAACTACACCTTCAAAAGAAAAAAGTAACAAACAAAACAAAAAGCAGGTTTTGAGAAAGGCTCATCAGTGAGAGCACTTGCCGCCTTGCCAGAGGGCCCGAGCTTGGTTTCCATCACTCACACAGGTGGCTCCGCGGAAAGCGACCCCTTTTCCTGGCCTCCATGGACACCCATATACCCATATACATGTAGCAAACGCACAGACACACAAACACACCAATAAAAATAAAATCTTTAATTTGAATTTAATTTTATGTGCTGGGTGTTCTTTGCCTGCACATACGTCCGTGTAGCATGTGCATGCCTGTGCTTGGCTAGAAGAGGGCCTCTTTCCACTGTGCCATTTTTCCAGTCCCTACAAAGCAACTTAGGAGCCAGAGGCAAAGGCAGGTGACCCTCTGTGAATTTGAGGCCAACCTGATTTTACATAGTGAGTTCTAGGATAGCCAGAGCTGTTATACAGAGAAACCCTGTCTTGAAAAGCCAAAAAGAAAAGAAAAAGAAATAAAGAGAAAAAAACAAATCCCTCTCAAACAAGGGCCAGTGGAAGTATGTTCAGTGGAAGAATGCTTGCCTCTCTTGTACATGGCCCTGAAATCCCAACATCATGAAATAAATACATACATATATAAGAAAGCCAGGTATTGTGACCCACACAAGAGAAGTGGAGGTGGGAGGGTTAGGAAGTCATGGGTGGCATGACCTCCAAAGTGAGTTACAGACCAGTCTGAGTTATACCAGGTGCTACCTAAAAATCAATCAATAAATTAATAGGCAGGGAATGATGTTGTATGCCTTTAATCCCAGCACTCGGGAGGCAGAGGCTGGAGGATCTGAGTTTGAGGCCAGCCTGGTCTACAGAGTGAGTTCTAGAACAGTCATGGCTACACAAAGATAAACCCTGTCTAGAATAAATACTTACATAAATGGAAGTAGTATTGTATGTCAGATATCTCTGTTCTTCATTTCTTTCTCCTACTCTTTTTTTTTAAATATTTATTTATTTATTGAGACAAGGTTTCTCTGTAGCTTTGGTGCCTGTCCTGGAACTAGCTCTCTTGTAGACCAGGCTGGCCTCGAACTCACAAAGATCCACCTGCCTCTGCCTCCTGGTACTGGGATTAAAGGCGTGGGCTACCACTGCCCTGCTCAGCTGTGGATGTCTTAATGCCCGCAGATGCCATATTCCAGTCTGCATCCATCCATTCCACGTCCCAGAGGTAACCGGTCCCAGAAGGCAGCCTTGGTCTTGCTGGTGACCAGCCTGGTGATCCTTAGGGGGCTCGGTGACTCACCAGATCACATTCTCAATTACCTGGTAGTCCATCTGGCCTCCCTGCAGCTTGGACGACTGTTGAAAGAGGCCTGCTGTCTGACTGAAGAGCTGCATCATGTCCACTCCAGGTGACGCTCCGCAGTCCCCACAGAGACTGGGTGCCCAAAAAGTGTCACACCCTTCACTCCTAACCTCGGCCTTCCCTGAACCTCACTGGCTGAGCTGGGCTGGGGTCTGAGGCTGGGCTGCTCCCGCAGGTATCAGAGCAACTACTGGAAGGCTGTGCGCGCTTGTCTGGGCTGCCCCATCCGCCGTACGACCTTGCTGGTGCTGTCCTTCTATTTCTACTACTATTATTTCCAAAAAGATGCTGACCTGAGTCTCAGTTGGATGCTCCTCTTGCTGGCCCTCTCACAGTCCATCAACATCCTTCTGGGCCTCCAGGTAGGGAGGGCATGGAAGAGGTGGGTGATGGGGGTAGATGGGACTGTGACTAATGTTGAGCTCAGCCCTGGGGAGGAGACTAGTTTAACGCTGAAGAGCCGGGTGTAGAGCTAGGGGGCTTGAGATCATGGGTTTAACAGCAGCAGTGAGATTGGGAAAGCTTCCTGCAAGAGAAGGGCTCTGGCTGTCCTGTCCCTCTTGGAAGTCCCTCAAGTCCCTCCCACTGTCTACAGAGCCTCGCCCCAGCAGAAATTTCTGCCATCTGTGAAAAAGGAAACTTCAATGTTGCCCATGGGCTGGCCTGGTCATACTACATTGGGTACCTGCGGCTCATCTTGCCAGGTAGGCCACCTGCATCTTCATTCTTAGACAAGATACATGGTTTTTGCTATGCTTTTTGAAGGATTTCCATGTCTACCAAATAATTAAATTATTCCATATGAAGACTGTTAAAAGTTTTAGTGTGATCTTTGAGACAAATGTTTTAAAGTCTTGGGTGCTTAAAACACCCTATGTACTGAGCTGAACAGTGGCAGCGCACGCTTTTAATTCCAGCACTTGGGAGGCAGACAATCTCTGTGAGTTCGAGGCCAGCCTGACCTACAAAAGGACTTCCAGGACAGCCAGGACTTGTCTCAAAAAAAAAAAAAAAAAAAAGCAAAAGCAAAAACAAAACAAAACAAAAACAAAAACAAAAACAAAAAACCCCACACAACCAAACAGAAAAACACCCTATGTATTTGAGGATGACCTTGAATTTCTGATTGTCCTGCATCTATATCCAAACCCTGGGATTACAGGTGTGAGCCACTGTACTTGGCTTGTTATTGCTGTTGTTTTGTAATTAATTTGTTGTCTTGAGGATTGAATATGGGGCTTTACACATGCCTAGTAAGCAGTCCACCATGTGTTGTGGGACATGTGTACACTGTGAAGATATATTGCTGTGATTGGTGTAATAAAAAGCTGAACAGCCAATAGCTAGGCAGGAGCTGTTCGGATATGGTGTGAGAGGGCCTTGGTGGGTTCAAGAAGTCCCACGGCAGGTGAGAGCCCAAGGTGGGTGAGAAACAGGCATGTCATGGAAGCAATGCTCATGTGGAGGGGTTTTATTGAGAGAAAGGGAATGGAAAAGGGGGAGGGGAGAGGGAGACCAGCTCTGGGGATAGGAGCTGTGGAAGAGAAGAGAGAGGCAGAAAGAGAGAAAGACAAAGAGACAGGCAGAGAGAGAGACAGAGACAGAAATAGGCGGTGCAAAGACCTGCCTGCCTTTTCAGAAGAGGAGCAGGAAAGAGACCGAGACTGGGTGGAGCACATGTGCACAGATTATTATGTAGTGACGTACGGACTGCATAGTGATGTAGCAGGCATAGTGCCCTGGGCTGGCCGGGACACTACCTGAGTGCATCCTGCCAGGTGACAGGGGGCAGACCAGCATCACACTTGAATCCTAACAGGAGAGATGGGCAGGACTTGGGGGCAGAGATAAACTGTCTTACTTCTGGCCACGTGATAGAATGTAGATTAATATAAATGGGTTGATTTAAGTTATAAGAGATGGTTGGGGATGACAAGCCTAAGCTAAAGGCCGAACTTCCATAATTAATAAGTCTCTGTGTCATTTTTTTTTTTTTTTTTTTTTTTTTTTTTTTTTTTTTTTTTTTTTTTTTTTTTTTT